ATGGATAGTTTTCTTCCTGTCATTGAAGCTACCCAGAGCTGACCCCTGTGGCCTGGACCAGCACACCCACACATCTGCTCAGGGATTGCGTTTACAGATGGCTGCTGTCTATTACAGCCGGCGGGTGTAGTGACTTGCCTTCATATGGGGAATTGCAACCTTGAGCCTCCGGTCTAGGAGTGATTGCGGCTCAAGTGCAACAATGCATTGGCGCTCTGCACATGAAGGAGATCAGATACACCCAGACCTCCGTCCTCTATTATCTAGGTTGTAATTCAGGCATCCCCTATGTAGTGCCACATATAATTTGCTTGTTCCACAGACCTGAAATGTAACACTTCAAAAAGCAATTTAAAGTTTCAGACTGCTGACACAGGAAGAAGAGGATTTTTAGAGATCTACGGGAAACAAAAGTCATGATTTAGGCTACGTGACTGCTATGCAACACAACCAGCAGATAAAAGGAACATGCACGGCTCCCTCACAAATCTGTTCTCATTAAGTCAGACAGACATAGTTTGAACTGAGAATTTAAAGAATAAAGCACAACTTTTAAACAATCCCTATGCTGTGGGAAAGTAGTAAATATAATATAAAATATTCTGAATAAATTAAAATTAATACAAACAGACATTTTCAATCCATGTTTTGTGGATGAAAAGGCTTGTTTTTGCAATGAAAGTTTTATTTTGCAGATTTTTGAAAGAGTTAAGTTACATTTACAATATCAACCAAGTGTTCACAAATAATTCTGCAGAATATGCAAAAAGCAAAAGAGTTGCTTTGATTTGTATCCTGCTTCCTTTATTATAATTATAATTATTATTCTTATTATTTTATGTAAAACTACACATAAACTAATAGGGTTTACCATTAAATTATCAGAAAAAACACCAAATTTGCCATTGTACATCCAAGGTTTGAAGTTATCAGGTAGATAGAACCACCTTCACATCACAGCTTTGTGGTTTTTCTACTTTTAGGTTCTAACTTTCCTTTGGGGACCAATAAAGCAGATTTCTTAAACCCTGATTTAAATGACTTTGGAACCAATTCTTCAGACAGATGTTAACAAAAATTAAAGAGAAGGGGTTGACTGATCTGACTATAATAAGTCCAATTTTATTAGAGAGGAAAATCACATCATAATGAAATTTGGTCGAGGCTGGTGGTGGGGGTTGATAGTCTTTTATCAGATCAGCGTCCTGTATCGAATCTTTTACAGGAGTTTGTTTTAGTAGGCAGGGGAAGGGGTTTTGGTATCAAAGATGTAATATTTAAGCATCTCCCTTCTTCAAATCACGTTCATAACACATTTTGCAGTTTCATTCGTTCATTCAGGAACCGGTAACCAGATAAGCTGCACAGACAATAATAGAAACCACAGGAAATAAATATCAACCCTGAACCGTGGTCGCTGTGCGGAAGGGTTGTGGTGAATCTGCAAAAGATAGCATGAAAATAATATTCACACTCCTTTATCATGATGCTGGTTGTATTAGAGAGAACAGGGTTGTTTAAACGTCGTGACTGTTGTGAACAAGAGCACTTCTCTCAGTGTGTTTTTCTGCCTTTTACAGCCATAAGAGACTGAGAATGTAATGCACCTTGTTGAAGAAATTTTACTCATAGTCCTCATGTGAAGTTTGCTGTAGTGGGTGTTTATTAGTATTCCGGTATTGGTTCACCAACACAGAGCATGAGTCTGTGAAGGTGGACCGACCCTGAACATCTGCAGAGTCACACATTTACACTGTAAGTCAGAGGGTAGGGGGGGGCTGTATGTAAATACAAAGGTGAATAGAGGTAAATTAACATACAGTTGCTAATCAAATGGCAGGAGGTAAGGGGAGCAATGAACAACAGGGGGTGGAATCGGGTGCCTGTGACAGGAGGTAGGAAAACACATGACAAAAGGTGATGGGAAAACACATGGCAACAGGGAATCAATTCAGGGGTCTTTGACCATCACAATAAAAGACAATGGCTTTCTTCTTCAACCTCCAGAGGATACATTCTCTGCCGTGTATACCTGACTGTCTGCACTGTTTTAGTACCATTTTGTAATTTTTCTGTGTGACTGTGTGTTAAAAAGGCTTCACCAGAAGATGGCTGCCAGTTCCCACTGAAACACTGGTCTTTCATTTCATTCTTTACTGATGGAAGGAGGAATATTGTGTTGTATCGTGTCACATTGTGCTTAAAATATGGCGTAAATGTCAGATTGCTTAGTTTTATTATTGATCCTGCTAGTGGAAGACTGGCTATTATCACAAATTTATGCAAAATGCTTCATCAGCGCAAGTCTGAACCCAATATTTATTTATTTATTTACTGGGACACATTGTGGATTAAAGTAGTTATTTGTGCATTTGAAATAAATAAAGGTGTGATTTACACTTAATTAGAAAAATATCTTAAGTAAAGCTTGCTGTAAATTGTGTGTCAAAATAGTAGTGTTGTAACATCTAATGTTTTGTGTTATTATCCATTTATTGCCTTGTGTAAATAACTTAGTCTAGTTTGCACAGTTTAAACCATAAATGTATATAATATATTTTTGTTAACTGCATACTTATAGTATTAATTTGAGGCAGGGGTTCTCCTTAAAGCAACAGCTGCATGTCTTACAAGCTGAAACTCAATCAGGGTAAATGCCCTTCCTTTGAAATTTTACCCATGTGTCACAGACGTGCTTCACGCTGTAGTGGAGGTACAGCGCCCCCTACATTGCTTTATTTGGATCATCAGATCAGCTCTGCCTGTGGCTGATGGTCTCATGACTGCATTCTGTGATCGGTGGCAGAGATGTTATCTCATAGGTCTAACCAATTACACAATCCTTCTGCTGGTCCAGGTTTAGAGGAACTGGATGCGAGCCTGTTTGTCATCAGAGGCCAGCCTACAGACGTCTTCCCTCGTCTTTTTAAGGTAGGAGATACTGAATGGAGTGAAAGATCAGTCTGAACTCTGAAACACGATGCAACATGTTTAAAGCCCCTAAACTGGTTACACAGAAATGACGTATTTCTGAGATATGTAATTGTGTTAAAAAAGCACCTCAATTATTGATCTATATATATTTGTCTTAGAAACAATTTTGACTCTAGTTATGTATGAAGTGAACTCATATATGCAGTCCTGATGTGTTGCGTGTACTTTCTTAGGAATGGCAGATCACTCATTTATCTTATGAGCACGACTCTGAGCCGTTTGGTGAGGAAGGCGATGCCGCCATCCAAAAACTAGCCAGCGAGGCCGGAGTAGAGGTGCGGATTTCTCACACGCTCTACAGTCTGGACAAGTGAGTGATTCTTCAGTATGCGTTAAGACAAAAGTCCCACAGTGATAAACCTGTTTGAAATGGAGATTGTGACCACCTACTCTGTGCATGCAGGTAGGGATTCCCTTTTAATATATTTATCTTCCCTAAAGGATTAGAGAACTCAACGGTGGTCACGTACAAGCGCTTCCAGGCTCTGATCAACCAAATGGATGCCGTGGAGCTGCCTGCAGAGACCATCACATCTAATGAAACTGCCTCACACCCATCAGTCACGA